GAATATACCATTGAACTGTATACTTTAAATGGATGAACTATGTGCTATGTGAATTACATCTCAATAAAGCTGGTATTTAAAAAAAAGGTTATATGATATGAACTATGAATGTTCATGTCATCGCCACCAAATACTGTGTATGAGAATCTACTGCAGTATAACTTTCAATGCTTTGCTCACTGTGTGGTACATAGTAGGTAATCAATAAATGTTTGTTGAATGAATGTTGAATAGATTTCTAAAAAACTAGAATATTCAGTGAATTAAGGCAGAGGAGTCTTGTCATTTTAACTTTCTAAATTTCTGGAGGACATCCTGAAAATCTTGTGGATTTTCTTTCCTACAGGAAAGAACCTAGCATGTAGCCTGGCATATGCCACACTCTCAGTAAAAAGCAGTTCATTTCTTCTTCTTTTTTTTTTTTTGAAACAGTTTTAAAATCTGTTATTCCACTTTCTTTACTTAGTATCAGTTTTGCCAGCTTTATAATGGACCATCAGTGGAAATAAAGGTAGCGATTCAAAAAAGAGCTAAAAAGACCAGTATTACTTGTGTTCAATAGTGGGAGTTACACTCAGCTAAGAAGTGGCTCTTTGAATTTTGTGTTTAGAATAAATGGACTAGTACAGTGATTCTCAAACTTAAGAGTACTTCAGATTCACCTAAAGGAGATAGATCCAGGGCAGGACCCAGAATTTACATTTCCACAAATTCCTGGGTAGTGCTGATGCTTCTAATCTGCGGACCACTCTGAGAAACGCTGGACTCAAATTTCTTCTTAACTTTGTTTAAATTTTGAAACAATCACAAAGTTACAGGAAAGTTGGAAATACAGTACAAAGGACTTTTAATTTACTGAGTCATTTGAGAATTAAGTTGCCAACATACTGCCCTTCACAGTCTAATACTTTAGGGTGGAATTCCTAAAAAGATATTCTTCTGTACAACTGAAGTATAACCATCATCAGGAAAAGAACACTAATATATTGTTACCATCTAATCTCCACACCCTACTCAAATTTTGCAAAGTGCCCCAATAATATTGTTTATAGCAAGAGGACCCAGTTCAAAACCGTGCATTGCATTTGGTTGTCCTGTGTCCGTCGCCATGGAAGAGTTCCTAGTCCCTCCTCGACTGCCAGAACCTGACACATTTGAAGATCAGAGGCCAGTTATTTTTGAGTGTCCCCAGTTTGGATTTGTCTGATGTTTTCTCATGAGTAGATTCAAGTTACACATCTTGGGCGGGAATGTTATATAAACGTCTCTGTGTTCTTCTCAGTGCATCCTATCAGGTGCTGCATGATTACAATGTATCCCATTAATGGTGATGTTAACCTTGATCATTTAATAAAGACATCTGCCAAGCTAATCCGCTACGAGGTCATTCCTTTTTCTTAATAACTCTTTTGTGGAGGAGTATTTTGAAATGATCTAAATATCTCATTTCTTCATAAACTTGCAATTTAGTCATTTGATTATTTATTTATGTTTCTATGGACCCATGGCTTCTGGTTTTATTCAATAAATTTATAATCCACCACTATAATTATTTATTTTAATGCTGAAATTGTCTCAAATTTGGCTTGAGGGAGCCCTTTCAACCTGGGCTTCTATGGTATGTCCTTTTGACATGTCCCCAACATTTTTTGAGCACTCCCTTACTTCCTGGCACAACAAAATCCTCTACATTCATCCTGTACTTCCTATGCCATGGCCCTGGAGTCAGTCATTTCTCTAAGGAGCTGTGGTTCCTTTTAGTTGAAAATGACGTTTGAATCTTCTCACTGAGAGCTAAGATACACACACGCGCACACACACACACACACAAACACACATACATACTACATGTGTATTGCTGGGTAACTAATTACCACAAATTTGGTAGCTTAAGACAACACACAATTATTAATGGTTTTTGAGGTCAGGAGTCCTGGTATGTCTTAGTTGGCTCCTCTGCTTCAGGGTCTCACAAAGCATCAGCTGGGGCTGTGGTTTTATCTCCAGGATCAACTGGGAAAAGACCCACTTCCAAGCTCCTGTGGGGGCAGAATTCAGTTCCTTGTGGCTGTGGGCTGGATGTTACCCTCAGTTCCTTGCCACGTGGACTTCTCTGGAGGGCAGCTCACAACACAGCAGCTCGCTTCACCAAAACTAGTAAGGGAGCATGTCCCCCAAGCAAGACAGGCTTATAATCTTATGTAACATAATACAGAAATGACATCCTACTATCTTTGCTTTGTATTCTATTATTTAGAAGCAAGTCATATATCCTGCCACTCTGGAGGGGAGAGAATTACACATGGGCCTGAATACTAGGAGGTGCAGATCTTTGGGGAACATCTTAGGAGCATCTCACTGAAGTCACCTTTGCAAGAGGCAGAGGCAGGGGAGACCCAGGCTTCCGAAGTGAATAATTGGGAGCATCTTTGAGTCTGTCTGCTGTGATATGTGCATGTATGTGTACACCTACATTTATAATTCCATCTTCTATCTCATCTATCATTTCCATCTTGAAAATCATGGTTCATACTAAGGCATCTAATTTCAATCCAACACCACAAGGTTCATTTTAATTTTCTCCCCTTCCATATTTGTATCTCCCATCTCTGACAGAGAAAAACCTCATGTGTTTACTTATTTGATCAATTTCCTCTCATCACTGCCATGCCTTTCCTCTTATAGATGCTTTCGTCTCTGCTCAGGCTCTGATGTCCCGTGTCAGACCGTGGTCATGAGGACGCCTCAGTCATCATGCTCAGACCCTGACATACACAGACCCACCACCCCATGGGGATGCCCCCTCACCCTTATGGACTCTAGGACCTCTTCGCTTTGCTGGGGTTCTGACATTCCATCGCTAGCCCTCTCTCCCCACACCATGAATGTCCATCTCATTCTGCCCATCTCATACCTTAGGGCTAAATCATCGGAAGAAAGGAAGGGAAAGGAAGGAAAAGAGCACATTTCTCTTTAATGATTCCATTTTTTCCTCGTTTAATACAATTCTCGTCTCCTCCCCCAAAAGATGGGAGAATAGGTGCAAAACATTCCCCGAACAGATGGTGTAAAATGCAAGTGGCTATTTCATAAATTTGCAGCCTATTAGCTGGAGTTGGAGGAACTCTAATGTGTGAAGCAGCAGGGAAAAAATGCAAAGGAAGGACCAAGGGAAGCATGCACACACAGTCTTCATTCTACCTCTGTGCCTTGCTCAAGCTCATCTATTTTCTAGTCTAAAATGCCCACTTTTCTGTTCTTTATTTACATCAGTTTGATTTCTTGCTTCATTCAAGGGCCAGCTCATGAGGTTCCTTCTTCCACAGAAGACCCTCACTAGCCTTAACCCAGGCATTTCATCCCCCTTTAAAATTCCAATCCATACTCACTCACATCTTTGTAACCACATTCTAGTGTTTGATTCTCGATGACTTTGTATAGATCTAGCCCTTTATGTATGCACATCTTTCCTCCTGAACTAGATAGTAAGTTCCTTAAAGATATACTTCATTGTGTCTCATCCATGCTTGTTGAGTGATTGAAACCAGCCACTCTGTGTGAGGACATGATATTGAGGTGGAGGCGGAAGCTTTTCAGAAGGGTGGCCACTAGCTATTTCATCTCTTGTTCTCTTATTTAGTTCACTCTCTTGGCTGAAGGCAAGCATAGCAGTGAAGTGTCCAATGAATGTGTACTGAATTATAATTTAGCCTATACGATTATTACATCCTCTCCAGAGGATACAGACCCCAGAAGCCATGTGTGTCATATTTCACCTACCCCAAATGGATGGTCAATGACATGGAAATAAAACTGGAGGAATAGCTTTATTTATACCCCTGTTTCTCTGTACTCTGTACATAATATAAACCCCATACTTTGAAGGGGTCTCACTGAATGTGGATTCACAGTTATATTTACAAACGATTGAAAGAGTAGGATTAAAGATTAAGATCATCTTGTGATACGGAGTGTGAGTTGAGAAAGGCAGCATCTTTTGCTGCATAAGAAAATAGTAATTCCCTAGCGTGAGATACACTCTCAGTCTTTTATTGTGTTACAGATGTGGGTTTCAAGGGAGTTGCTTCTCCTGGGTCCTTCAGAGCTATTCATCGGATGGGGCTACACGTGATTTGAATTTCAGACTTATTTATAACAAGTCTGAAGTTTGTTTATCTTATAATAAAATCCCCAGTAACTGTGTAGAGGGTGGATATTAGTCATCATCAGAGAAATGTTAACGAGTTTGACCCAAATCACTAAAAAGCATCAGACCTGGAAAATCTTGACTTTTCTTGCAGATACTATCATTTTTTTCCTCTTGTGTTCACGATGAATGAGAAGGTAGTGGCTTTGAGTTGCACATTATCTTTTAAGTGATATTTTTCAAGCCTTCCCTAATCGCCTTGAACTAAAACCCAGCTTGTTAAAACAGACCCGAGCTTAACATCACACAACCACACCATGCAGTGCGCTCCTCCCGGCGCTGCGGGGGTGCGAGCTCCAGTTCCACCCCGGAGAACGGAGCTCCTTTAAGGGGTGAAAGCAGGAAGGAATGCGTGTGGGCTGCCCAAGCAACACGTGAGCCTGGCGAAGAGGATCCCGGACTCCAGCACGTGAAGAGAGTGAGGCAAAACGTAAACAGTGCTCGTGCTTCTTGGCAAAAACAAGGGACAAAAGGCATCTCATAGGAGAAAGGAATGGAATTTTCAGATGTGACAGTGAGGATCCAGTTTTAGAGGATTTTTCCCCAATAAATTTAAAAATATGTTTTGCTTTTTAAAATAACAGAACATTGGAGTTCTATAAAGTAATTGGATACACATGTGTACACACACACACACACACACCACTTGCCCATTTGGCTGGCCAGGGAATATCTGACGATACCAGTCGAGCATTTTGACTTTCGTAATGTATGTCAGGGAGCACAGTGGTTGCCGCCGTATTCTCTTTTTTTCTGTAGCAGGGAAAGGCTGCAGTGTTTTAGGATAGAATTAGCTCTATAAGGAACTGTGTTTTGACATTCTCCTAGTCCTTTGTTTGCTTAACTATCATTCTAAACCACATATTCTCGTGATGAGGGAGACCCCATGAAAAAGGAGGCTGGACAATAGCAGGCAGTATAAATCTACTCCATCACACAAGCTGTTGAAAACAGTAAAAAATGAGAAGCTTTTACTCAAGGTAGGTTCTGTGATGAATTCCTTTGTTTAGCAAACACCCTGATTATTTGGCTATATTTCTGAATCTTTAGTTATCTGTTTTGCTTAAGTTCCACCTATATTAATCAGAATGGTGTTGAAAAACCCTGAAAACTATTGCTTTTTCATTTGCCAGGTGAGTAGGTAGTGGAAAGGGCAGGGGCTTTGGGGTCACACCTAACTATAACCCACTTCTACCCCTAACTAACAGAGGAGGGGGTCACTTAGCTCCTGTGACCTTCAGTTTCTGCGTCTTCAAAATGGGGGTCATTTGTCCAACCTCACAGAATACTCTGCAGGACTCAGCTCGTGGCTGCCCCAGGGTACGTCCTCAGTGATGGTGGTTTTTGTTAATTATAGAGTCAGAGGCCTACAGAAGTTGCACCTCACAGAAGGTCAGCAGGAGAGGGACAACCACCAGCTCCACATATTCAGGTTTCAGAGTGTGGATTGTGTAGGGAGGGTTACTGTGAAAACATCCTTCAAAATCCACTGCAGACACAAAAGGACACATGGTGTGACTCCATTTATTCAAGGGACCTTTTTCATAGCGGGGAGCTCTGCTTTTTAATGGGTATAGATTTTCATTTTGGGATGATGGAAAATTTTTTGAGATGAGTAACGGTGATGGTTGCACAACAGTGTGAATGTATGTATCTCTGAAATGGTGAAAATGGTAAAATTTTATATTGTGTATATTTTACTGCAATTTAAAAACTTAAAAAATCTTTTGGAATGAAGCAAATCAAGATATATCTAATTGTGGAATACTATGTACATGTTCGAATGGAGTAGATTTTCTTCTACTGACATTGGAAAATGTCCAGGATGTATTGTTAAGTGAAAAAAGCAAGTTGTAACCATGTGTGTAGTCTAATGCCAGTCGAGTATTTTTTTCCTGCTTGAATTGCTTCACGTTTATTAGGGAATCTTATCTTTACAATACCCATATATAGTATTATCATTACCCCATTTTGCAGATGAGGAAACGAAGATGTTAAGTTTCTTGCCCAAGGACACTGATCTAATAAGTGGAAGAGCTAGAATTTTGATCTAGTTCCAACTATCTGGCTTCCAAAGTCTGAGTTCTAAACTCTGCAGCAGCAGCTTCACCTGAGAGCCTTAGGTCTGTAGCTTTTCTAGCCCCATTCCAGACCTACTGGATCAGAATCTGCAGGATAACAAAATCCTCAGCAGACTCTTGTGCACATTGGAGGCTGGGAAGACTGGAGCCCAAACCACTACACAATACTTAAAACCAGATTTGCAAGAATAATACCAAATATTAATATATGCATAGGAAAACTTTACTTGAAATTCCATGGACTTTTTTATTTTTAACTGAGTGGTATGTTCTGGAAACTATACCAAAAAATTCTGTATCAAATTGACCATGTATTAGGTTTATTCCTGTCTTATCATTGGCTTAAGAGTTATTCTGTTGGAAGGGTCAAGTCAAGGAGCCATATAAAGGACCTATGGACAAGGACAATGTGGGGGAGGACTGAGTGTGGGAGGGCAGATGGGCAGGGCAGGGGAGAGCAATGGGGGGGGGAATGGGGACTACCGTAATTGAACAAGAATTTTAAAAATTAAAAAATAAAAATAAAAAATAAAAATGTTTATCTTGAAGCTAGCTCCTCTCTAGGGCTTTTCTAACTCAGTTTTTAACAATCTACTAAAATCTTATTAAGTTAAACTCAATTATGAAGAGTAACTCATTCATTTGAAATATGGTGAACTCTTTGGGTAATTTAAGAAGAAATTACTTAGTAAGTAAATTGCCAGTCTAGTCAATACTTAAGTGACTAAATACAGCCAGCATTCTTTTTAATTTTAAGGATTTTTTTTGTGAATTAATTATTCCTGATTCAAATGAGACATCAACATTCATTAAAGAAACATGACAGTGCTTCTTAATAGACATTCTAGTAGTACTTAACTAATTGCTCAAATGTAGATTAATGTACTAGAAATAATTTACTTTCAAATAACTCCATAATTCATAAACTTTTCAAGTAGTGTAAATTCTACCACCTTCCTATACCCACCCTTGCAATTGGGCTGAATTAATGAGGTTTTATCTTACCATGTTTTGAACAGTAGTAGGTAGTTATCATGAGTTTAACTGTGAACCTAAGAAACTTTCACTGAACATCTCAATGACTCAGTTTCTCCATCTGTAAAATGGGCACAGTAAAGGTTACCAGCAGAGTTATCACGTGTGGTTGGGCAGGTTTTGAGAACTGCATAGTTTTAGGGGGTGCTGGTCACAATCTGCATGACTGTGGGCCGCTGCTTTGCTTGGAGGGTTCCTGAGAGGATCACATGAGTTAATATATACAGAGCTAGTGGACCTATGACCAGTGAAGAATGAGCACTGTTTGGTCCTGCCTAGGAAGATCACTTGGCTAGAGTGTTGTCTCCAAATGCCAAGATTGTGAGTTCAATCCCTGATCTGGGCACATACAAAAACAACCAATAGATGCATGAACGGGTGGAGCAACAAATCGATGTTTCTCTTTCTCTCTCTCCTTCTCTCTAAATCAGTAAACTTTTTAAAAAAAGAATAAACACTGTGCTTGATAATTTTAACAGAATAGGTCTTCATTCAAAGAATTATTGCCCTTGCCCTGGCTGGGTAGCTCAGCTGGTCAGAGTGTTGAACTGCACAACAAAACGTTGTGGGTTCCATCCCTAGTTGGGGCACACGTGGGAGGCAACCAACTGATGTTTGTCTCTCTACCTCTGTCTCTCTCTCTCCCTTTCTCTCTCTGTCTCTCTGTCTCTGTCTCTGTCTCTGTCTCTCTCTCTCTCTCTTTCTCTCTCCATATCCTTGGGTAAGGATTTAAGAAAAAAAGAATTATTGCCATCAAATAAATATTGTGATGAATAACAAGAGAGATGAAGTTGGAGAGTATGACTTGATTTCCTCAAACAAAATCGATTGATTTGGTAAGCAATTGTTACATCCTTCCATTCAAAAAATCAGAAAACCTCCCATAATACAAGATGGACATAACATTTCTACCTTCAGGGGACCAATAAGGTAGTGACAGACACACAAATACAACTTGCTGGAGAGGTGGAGGTACTTAGGTGTGTGGGTTCTGGGGTCACACAAACTCCAAACTCCAAGCCACAGCTGTGCCATCACCAGCTGTAATACCTTCACCTTCATCTCAGCACAACCTTTGTAACCCAAGTTTCTTTATCAGTTTAGGGAGAATGATAACTGCATCACAGAGCTGCCAGGAGGATGAAAGGAAACAGTGCGTGCCAGTACTTACTGTTATTTTAGGCAGCAGTAAACTCTCAGCATGTGCTTGGTTGCTCACCTGCTTATGATCTCATCCTCAGCATTATTGTCCTACAGGCCACCACCTTCTCTTTCCACTTTGCCTTTCCCTTCCCCATGTGCCTGCTTCTTTCCAAAAGCCACTTATTCCCACCGCTGTGATGCAGATGTTTTTCTTCTCCTTGACCTTTTCTTTCTAGCATTTATTCTAAACCTTTAAGTTGAACCCAATGCAAGATTCACCTCGCTGAAGTAAAGACCTCGGAGAGAGGCCAAGCGTGATGGAAGTCCAGTTAGATTACTTACCAACATCTGCTTTTTAGGATTAGCAAGATAACAAAAGTTTTGTCTTCATGCTGTAAAATGTGGGTTTGTCCTCATAAAGTCCTTAGAGTATAAATTTCCTCACATGTAAAAAATGTGCCCTAGGTTTTTCTTTGTTTCATGTTTAGTTATTCCTTGCTTTCAAGCTTTAAAATAGAAACATTAATTGTTGCCACCCTTTGTCATTCTAAAAAGTCAGATTTGTAAAAAAAAAAAAAAAAAGAAAGAAATTTATTTGTTCATTAAATGACTCTGCTGAACAACCAGCTGCATGTTAGACATCATGCTAGGATGCATACAAAGAGATACACGATAGATAAGCTGGTCCTCCCGGAATTTACAGGCTTGTAAGAGGAACACAAGGAAGCGTTAGTTACACTCATGGTGCTCAGTCTTGCAACAAAAATAAGCTCAAGATGCTAAGGAGAGTTTGATTCATTCAGCACCCTAGGCAGGATCTTAAGGCCTGCAAGTTTTCCCAGGAACTATGAAACTATTTGAGTCCTGGAAAAAAAATATCATGTCCAAAATAAGAAAATGACAATATCAACTACATGTATAATTGAATGTCCACAAAATATAACATTATGTCAACCACATCCGAATCAGTTACTTATAAAAAGTTATCCAGGCTGTGGGGCTAAGAAAAGCCTCCAGGTGATGCCTGAGAGCAGTCCCAAAATGTATGTATTTGTTTCAGAAGGCTGTTATAACAAAGTGTCCCAGTCCAAGTAGCTTAAACAACAGGAATATATTTTCTATAAATTCTGGAGACCATAAATCCCGAATCATGGCATTGGTGGGATTTGTTTTGTCTGAGGGCTATGGTGGTGAATCTGTTCCATGCCCGTTCCCTCACTTAACGTGGTTCACAGGCAATCACTTCTTGACTTGTGTCTCTGTATCCAACTTTCCCCCTTTTTGTAAAATCACCAGTCCTACTGGACTAGGGCCCCACCCTACTCCAGTATGACCTCATTCTAACTGAACTAATTACATCTGCCACACCCTTTCCCCCAGTAAGGCCACATTCTGAGATACTGGAGGTTAGGACTTCAAGATATGAATTTGAGGGACACAATTTACACCGTAACAGTGGGTGAAAAAGTGGAGGGAGGAAGGCCAGAGCCAAAAGCCAGAGAAGCACATGCGAAGCCTTTGCCGAGATCAGAGCACCCAGGGCTATTCGGGAACAGAAACAGGCGCGCGAGATGGGGCTGCAGTAGGTGCGAGGGCAGACTACAAATGACTTTGTAGACCAAATATGAGTGTAATCTAAAAGCCAGGATTTTCCAGTGTGATATTTAAAAGTCAAGACAAAACAACAATGAAACAAATCTTATGCCTCTCTGCCCTAGCTT